TTTCTACAGGCTAAAAAATATTTGAATATTGATTGAAAAACTGCTGTCAAGCAAAAGCAAACAGCTGCAGGTGGAGAGGGAAGATTGCCCAAGGAGGGAGGAAACTCCCTGGCAATTTCAGACCTCACACTTCAAGCTAGGAATTACTGTTTTTTAATGTCTCACAGGCATTGAGCTATTAAATATTTATCATCCTGTAATAAAAAAATAAACCATTTAAATAAAATAAACCATTACCAGGCAATTAAGGTGTAATAACTCAAACCTGTAGAAAAGCCCTAATTGGAATTGCAAAATATTAAGGGTGAGGGAAAGACACAGAATAAATTAAGGTCACGTCTCTGGCCAATCCACTTACTTTGCACCCTAAAGATTTTTTATTAAATATGTTTTTCTATTTGCCATGGTTCTCAAACAGGCTCTGGCTTCACTGGGCTTAAAGACCTGTATTTCACAATAAATCATTAATCTTTAACAAAGCTGATGAAGCCTGGGGGAGATAAGCTTAAATAAGCCCTGTTAATTATCAAAGGTCATACATGGAAAGAGTTTTTTTAATTAACTAATGAGTTGGTATTTAACTGCCAGTTGCGTGTTGGTTGAGTTATTGATTCCTGCAATATATGGGAAAGCGAAATATCAAAGTCAAACAATTTTACTGGTCCAGGCTGGAATGAAAGAAGCTTTTTGTATTCTCCTGTTGGGAAATCTTCTCCTTTTGACAGTCTCAACAATCCCACCAGTGCTCCTTGTTGTCCAAACACTCTTTGAACTCTGTCAGCCTTGGTGCTGCGACCACTGCCCCTGGGAGCCTGTTCAGTGCCCAACCACCCTCTGGGGGAAGAACCTTTTCCTGAGATCCAACCAAAATCTGCCCTGACAGATCTCTGAAGAATGACAGGAACTAATGGCACGAGGACTACAGAAAACAATTAAAACATTTCACAGTTTCTGTTCATCATCCTTATTGTAAAGCAGGTTGGACCTTCTGTCGCCAAAATAGTGAAGAAATTCAGTATTACATTAAATCTCAACTGTGTATAGCATTGCTTTTTATTCCCCAAACCAGAATTGGAGTGTGGCTTTACTCATAATAAAGCATACTTTTTCATTTTTAAAAGCCTCTATCCCCCTAACAGTATTAATTGCACCAAACACAACAGTTTCATTTTGGACCAGCTGCGGGGTGATAAAATAAGGTACCATTGTAACAAAAAATTGTGTTTGTGGCTTTAACTCTTGCCTTGTTCTGTCACGGTCCTAGCAAGGGGCTGGCACTGAGCTCATGCTGGGTGGGGCTCCAGAGAATTGAAAAAGATCATCATCCCCGTTGGGGTTTGAAATGAAAAGGCATGAGAACTCTCCAGTGTGCGTTCCAGGGGCAGCTCTGTGTCTGTGCTGGGTGCTGTGGGCTGGGAGCTGGGAAAGGAGGGAGCCGGGAAAGGAGGGAGCTGGGGATTGGATGATTTTTATCTGGGAGTCAGATGCTCTTCTGGCCGGTTTGTTCAGTCTTAGCCTGAAACAAAGGGTTGTTTACCGTTTCTGAGTTTTCTGTGGTCTCTTGGGGATAAAAAAGGCTCGTTTTGCTCTAAAGAGGCTGAACCTGAGAGGACACCTGGGTATTGGATCTAACCCTGTCACACTGCAGGCTGCTCCCTGTGGAATCCCTTTCCTCAATTGGTGGATTTTCTCCTGAAGGAGTTGATTTTCCTTTCCTGAGTTCTAGTGAGGAGCAGTGTGAGGACAGCAAGACTGGAAAGCTGCAGCCCCACACTCCATTTCTGAACTCATCTACCCTCAGTTTGTACCCTCTGCTCATGCAAACAGGGGCTCATGAATTTCTCTGTTCCTTAATCATATACAGGGACATTTTCTAGGCAGGTAATTACAGGTAATTGGCCTCTAGTAAACTGATAGCCAGTTTTATTTACCTGTTTATTTTTACCTGCCTATATCCTTTAATAGCTCGTATTTTCTGAGGCCCTGGATGCCGTGAAGCTATAGCTGTGGGTCTTGCCCTCCTGGAACATGTCTGTAATTCTCACTCCTGCTGCCCCTGCTGTCCTCCCCTCCCCGTGGATTTACTGTTGTTTTGACAATTTTATGTGCAAACATATTTAAATCCCTCTGACCTCAGCCTCCTGAGCTGATTGAATTTTGCTTTAACTCTGCTCTGGTATTTTCCATTTCCATGTTCTTATGCAGAACTTCAGCCTTTAAGCTTGTGCTAGAATTGAGACAAAAATATTTTTAGGTCCTGTGTAATTTCTTTGTGAGCAGAGGGTCTCCCATTTCTCTGAGGTATCTCATCCCTTCATATTATGGTTTAGTGGGAATGGTGGCATTCAGGATGATCTTGAAGGTCTTTTCCAGCCTCAAATATTCCATGATCTCTGGGGTCAGGGAATGTATACTGAGGTTTCCTTTCCAAGGTGCTGTTCTGGTTTTCCCAGGCATTGCTTCTTTACAGCCAATTCCTTTCACTCCCTGCAATTTACCTACTTGTGCTGTGGAGCCTTTTATGGGGTGGTTTCCCATTTTGTTAAGAGCCTTTCTCTGCCAGCTATTTTCTGTCTGGGATGAGAAAGGAATTTCTAGATACCATCTCTTCCCTTTGGTGAAAGACAGCATTAAATGTCCTTGACATCAAACCTCACCTCCCCTGCCCAGGTGTCTTTAGGAGCTTATATTCTCCGAAGGTTTCTCTTTTGAGGATTAGAGCTGCAGTTACAAATCTAGGGGGTTTATTCTTCCACTTCATTTAAACTCACTCAGCCGCTGATTCTCAGCTCATTTCCAGCGCTCAGATCCAGCACACACTCACCACCACCGACCAGAACTGAATTTAAAGAGAACATGACATTTTGCCTTTTCCCATGACAATAGGGTGGAGATTCCTGCACACATTTCTCCTGGGAATGGGATTATACCAGGGCCTGTCAGTGCATTTCTCTGTTGCACCAGGGCAGGTTTACATTAGATACTAGGGAAAATTTCTTCACTAAATTTCTTCACTGGAAGAAATTCAGGTCGGATATGGACAGAAATCCCCAGTTTTCCATGTATGTGTAGCAGCCAGAGATGCTATACCAGTATCCCTATGCCCAGGACATTCTTGTTTCTATCTCTTTGGTCCCAGCCTGAATTAAAGTTCTGCTTTAAACTGAGAAGATGGTTTTGGCTCACACTTGCCTCCCCAGAATAGACAGCTCTGGAGATAACACAAGGTCCTGCACACAGACAGCCCCAAGTCTGTCAAGGGCAAACCAGAGGCTGCTGTGAACACATTGCTGTTCCTCTGCTTTATAAAACGAATCCCAAAAGTTCAGCTCAAGGAGAACTCTCCACTGGAGTCACAAAAGTGGCACAGAATATCATGGTATTCCATTATACTTGCAGATTTTTTTTCCACAAGCACCCTTGGAAATCTGAGCAGTGCTGATACTGTAGGACTGGGGTCCCAGGAAAATGAAGTACAGCCAGTCCCACTCTTCCCCACACATCCCTGCCTCCCAGTGTTGCTAAGAAGTCATTAATATATTTTCATTTTAATGAACCAGCCGAGCGTGCTTATAGAAAACCAGCTGGTTTTGTTTTCTCTCTACAGACCTGAACATTTTCATGAATAAAGATTTGCAAAGAGTTTTAGAACTTGAAACTAGAAATAGATCTGTCTCACCAATTCCTTGATCTAATAATGTATTTAAAAATGAGATTTTTTTGCAAGAATAATACATGGATATTACCACCTTCACTTCCAGCCTCAGTGCCATGAATCTGTGACTTTATGCCACCTTAAGCACCTATAATTAAGTCTAGATCCAAAGAGGCACGATCATAGTACAATCCCTGCTGGTTTGGGGATGGTATTTTGCTTTTTAATGAAATATTGTACTTAGTGAATATGTTAATTTACTTGATTGTTGGGAAGAATGGTGTTATTCTGCAACCAGAGGAACTTTTGCCTTTATAAAAAGTCGTAGTTGCAACTTTTGATTTGGGAAAATATTTATCTGTTATTTCACTTGGACTCATTTTTGCATCATATTAACCTGAAAAGTAATTGTAAGGTGGGGGGGGGAACCCTCAAATTTGGCCAAGAGCGGCGTATGTGCTCAGCTATTCCCTGCACAGCCCTGTAGTCAACTTGTTCACATTTTTTTTCATTAGTTTCTTGTTATAGTCAAGATATGGTCAAGGATCTTTTGAGCTTGGTAATTTTGTTAAACCTTTTTTATGAAGAGTATTGAATTGCTGCATTGAGATGGGAGTTTGCTTCCGTGCAAGATTAATTGGGACTGGTATTTCATTTTGCATAGCACTATTCAAAGCTAATAAAAAGGCCCAGAATAATGAATTCTAAAGTCAAATTATAATGAAAAGCCACAGGTGATTGTTTCATTAGTCTGGATGCAGGAGAACTGTGTCTTCTCTTAACTTTGTCTGTTGTTTGCATTGGTTGCCCCAGGGGAAGTAAACAACTTCTAAATGGGTTTGATGTTTCTGAGAAATGTTTTCTTCTGGAAAGACTTCAATAATTAAAAAGATGTGCCTTCTTAAAAGTTCACTGAAGCACAAAACTATTACTTTAAAACATTCTTTGTTCAAAATTGTTACCTTGACTTATATTCATGGGAGGAAATTGCCTTTGATGAAGTGAGCAAACCATTTTTTTTACAGCCGGGTTTTAGGACCTCCCAGGAGAAATGGTTTGGAGCTCGAGAACTCCAAGGGCAAAAATATTTGCATATTGGGAGTGTGGTGGTCCTGATGCTGTTCACACAAGGTAGCTGGGCAAAGAACAGCCCTGCTGTAGTTCATAGGCACAGGAGTCTGGTCGCCTGCAGGTTTGTCAGGGGCCAGTGGTGCCCAGCCCAACCTGGAAATAAAACTGTGCTGTCTGTTGCATGACTGTTTGCTGTCTCATTCTGTATTTGTCTTCCATGTGTGATTAACTCCCAAATGTTCTCTTTTTTTTTTTTCCTTTTCCCTTTTTGTAGAAATTATTGAGCCTACTACCTCTAGTGCTGTCTCAAGCCCAGGTCAGTATCCACACACATTCCCGCAGGATGTTGGGTACTCCTGAGGGACTCATCCCAACGCATTGCCGTGTCAGTGACCGGAGCTGGTTACGGGCAGCTTGTTGTGGTAGTGCTGGGCTGTCTCCTTCTGTCTTTGTGCTGTCATTGGTGTGTCTTCCCTCCAGGCTTCATGTCTTGTCCTCTTCTCTCCCGTTCTGAGCAGACCTCTCCCGCATCTCTGTTCCTGCCATTCAGTCTCTCCTGGCTAACGCCGTGCAGGCGATTCTGTGCTCTTGTGATGACCTGGCCCTTCCTGACTCTCCCCTGGTGATGCTGTAAACATAAATGTTGGGTTGAGGCTGACAGATTTCTTGCTGTCTCATCACTGAGTGATTTTTAGGATGGATCCAAGGGCCTCTTGTGAGCCCCTTCCCATTTACAGTGCCAGAAGGTGTTCGTGGAGAGCTGAAACACCTGCCCTTGTGCTTGGTAGGTGGTGAGAAGTTCTGACTGTTCGTGGTACGTCCCCATTTCCTTGGGGATTTCCTGTTGCTGCTCCCCAACAGGGCACCCTCAGTGGAGCTTGTCACAGAATCACAGACCAGTTTGGACTGTGAGGGACCTCAAAGCCCATCTAGTCCTACCCCCTGCCATGGACAGGGACCTTCCACTATCCCAGGTTGCTCCAAGCCCCATCCAACCTGGCCTTGGACACTTCCAGAGATGGGGCAGACACAGCTTCTCTGGGCAACTTGTGCCAGGGCTTCCCCACCCTCATAGGGAAGAATTTCTTCCCAGTATCTCATCTAACCCTGCCCTCTAACAGTGGGAATCCATTCCCCCTTGTACTGTCTTTCTACGCCCTTGTCCCAAGTCCCTCTCCAGCTCTCTTGGAGCCCCTTTAGGCACTGGAAGAGGCACTAAGGTCTCCCTGGAGCCTTCTCCAGGGGAACATCCCCAGCTCTCCCAGTCTGTCTCCAGAGCAGAGGGGCTCCAGCCCTCGGAGCATCTTTGTGGTCTCTTCTGGACTCAGTCAGCCTAGCACAGGCTGTTGAACTGGCGCTGCCCTGCCCAGAGCTGGTTAAAAGATGTTGTCAGGTCAGGTCAGCCTGTGACAAGATTCCCACATGCTTTCCAGAAGGGTTTGGAAGGGAAAGGCAGGAGTCTTACATACCGTGGTGTAACTGCGCCCTGTGGTGCAGTTACGGTGTCAGACTCAGCAGGCTGATGTTATTTCCATGTGCATGATGTAGTAAGATGTGTAGTGGTCAGATCTCCTCCAAGTAGGAGTCTGGGAAACAAGATCAGGATTATCTGGGAGAAACATGAGGAGAATTTTCCTCTGGCAAAACCTTCACCTGAAGTGTAATTTTATTTCTAAATTGAGATTGCACCAGAAAGCCACAACAACTGAGGTGATCCACTCCCCAGTTAAAAAATGCAGATTAAACCAAGAGTTGCAGGCAGCAGGAGGTTCCAATAGCTTCACACATACAGGAGTAGCAAGACAACTGAATAAATCTTTGGAGCTTTTAATTGAAGGCTTAGGAAGGGCAATCCCTGGTGTCCTTTGTGGGGACGCTCAGGGCACAGAGGTGCTTCCTCTCTGCCCTCCCCAGTGCCCTGAACAGCCCTGAGCTCCCCAAAGTTCCGTGTCGTTTATGGGCAGGGAATCTCCTGTGACTGAGCACAAACAGCAGCGGAATCCTGAGCAATGTAGGACCACCCCCATTGCTAACCCAGCAGCAGGAGGGGAGGGATGGACTTCGCTGCAGAAAGCTGATAGTGCTTGCAATAAAAGCCCCTTTCCTTGTGATTTTCCACGGTTTGCTTTGGACTCCCATGCGGTTGAAAATAAGCTAAGGAATTATTTTTAGAGTTAACAGAAGCTGAGAAGAAGAAAAGAGTCACTGATATGTCAATCATGCAAAGTGGTGATAGGATACCTCAGTCTGTGTGTTAACACTGGGGTTTGTAATTCCTTAAAAAGTCCCCTTAGCCTGATCTTATTCCAGGCTTTGTTCAGAGAGTGATGGTTTATGCTGTATGACTGTGGTGGGAATGGCCTCTAGTAACATTTTGGGGTTTAATCTCCATAAGTGAGCACTGCAACAAAGAGCACAGCGTTTCTCACTTTAAAAAAATGATGTTAAAGTAACACAGCTTTGAGATATGTTTGAATTCTTGCTACTGCAGAAATTTTTGATGAATGAGCAAAATCATATGTATTTTTGGGAGCAGGGTAGACATGGGGGAATGGAAATTAATAACATCCTTTTATAATGATCCCTGTCAATTCTGAAACACAGTGCTAAATACAGAGGTCTTTTGCCAAATGCAATACAAAATTGAAAATATGAAAATGTTTGAATGCAACAGAGGGAAAATTTGGAAGCTGGTAAAGTTGCAATAGTTCTGAAGTTACACGAGGAGCTAGTCCAGCTTTAACTGACCAAGGAAAGGACTCTGAGATCAGTTTGCAGTTGAAAGACATCTGTTCCACTGAAAGACAACAGAAAGGGTTGGATTTTTCAACGAAAGTTCTCCAAATGCTTGAAAATTTAGGATTGAGTCCTTCTTCCTGAAACTTAGCCCTGGTATCAGCAGTGACGTTGCCACTGAACTGTTCTGTTGGCATTACATAATTAAATAACTCTGTCATAGTCCCTCTACTTGTGTAACTTTTAGCTGGTAAATAGCTGGGTAATACCATCAGTATTGCTAGCAAGTTCTATAGCTGCAGAGGCAACTCAGAAGTTCCCAGAGCGTCAGAAACAGTCCCTCGTGTGCTGCAGCATCAGGCAGGAGGTTGGGGTGGGAGATGGGGGCAGAAAATCCCAGTTGTTCATCTATTGCTGCTTTCAACAGTAATATTTTACTGACAGTGAAACAAGATTTATCTTAGAGTCCTAGATTGGTTTGTGTTAGAAGGGACCTTAAAGATCATCTTGTTCCAACAAAATTTCTGGCTTTGTTTGAGTCATCCCAGGAGGTTTTAGCCACAGAGCTCATTGGATCAATGTATATCTGTCCTGCTTCCCTCCTGCAGGGACACAAAACATGACTAAACTGTAGGAAATCATTTTTATCTCGTGTCTTGCATTAGTCAGAACACAGAGCATCAGCCTCCCTCCTGCTTAATCAAGGCTTTGCTGCTAATTGTTTAATTACCACCATCCTTTTACCACTTCAGTGCAGCTCCATTGGATGTTTTTCCTGGAGAAGGTTTTGCTACTGGAAGGACGCAGATCCTTTGTAGGGTTTCAATATGGAGCCAAAGGTTTTGAAAACACCCAAACCTGAGTCAACATTTAACTGCAGGTAGAGGATGGAGAGTTGCAGGTCAAGGATCTTCCAGAAATCAAAGTAAACAACTGACAGGCTGTTCAACATCACCAGTTGAGTTTTCCAGTATCTTTCTCAAAGCCCAAACTGGGAAGTTACTTTTAGTACAAACTGAGGAATCTGTAGGAATCCTGAAGATCTTTAAGGATCCCTCACAGTTCCAAATAGGAGACAAACCATCTCAGACATAATTTGCAAACCCACCCAGTGTTTGAGGGCCCCTTGATACACTTGTGCATTTCTCTGCTGGAACCCTTTTTTTACATTTGGGGATTTGCTTTCCTAATTTGAAGTGACAACGTGTAAAACATGTAGAATTAGCTGCAAAAAGTTAAAAAAATTGAGGCCAGGTTTGGTATCTCTTTTGTCAGGCAGCACCAGGAGCTGGAGGTACTTACAAACCTCTCCTCCTTCAGTGTAATTAGTTCACAGGTGGTGTCTTGAAAAGCCTTTGAAGATGCTGCTGAATTCTTAATGCTGACTAAACAAGTAACTGTGACAGGTCAGAGAGAATAATTGAGGAATCTTCTTTAATTAATGATTTCACATCTGATGAGGCCCTTTTATAAAAATTGGAGTTGGAGAGAGAAAGACCTTAAGTTATTTAATTTTCTCAGGAACAAAAGCATGTCTTAATATGAGCACTCGGGCAGGTTGGACAACTCCTTGAACTTCAGTGGCTTGTCCCTGATCTGCCTTTCTGCATATCTAATATATTTAATAGGCCAGAATACCAAATCACACCTAATTTCAAGCAGGCTCTGTTTGTCTCATGGGAAGCTTTCAAACCCTCTTTTTTTTTCTCTTCTTATGCAGTTGCAAATCTCATTTTAATCAATAAATGATTTGTGCATGGAAAATCTACAGGGCTGGACTCTCAGAATTTGTGGTGTTCTTGGCTGCTATTAATTTTGTCTTTCTACCTTCAAATGGAGATCTTTGCACATGGGCAGGAGAGTCATTGGTGCAGCAAACCCTGGACTGGGGACAAGCCCTGAGGCAGGAGAGGGTGACCAGCTGTGAGTCACAGCCGGTTGTGCTTCGGCAGCCAACACTCAAACTGTTCTTTCTTTCCCAGTTTGTGGAATTCCTTCCAAAATACTAAACAAGTATGAATAGATGATCCGCATTTAGGGTAACAGATCCTGGATCATTGCAAATTTAACTTCTAAATCATGTTAGGAGCAGATGTCTGTTTGTTCAAAGAGCTTTTGATGCTTGGTGGCCACTTCACTGCCTCCCAAATGACCCCACCCTGGGAAGGGAAGAAGAGTCTCCCAGACTGTCCCATGTCTCTGTGTATGCAGCTGATGGGTGAATCATCCTCCAGCACCCCAGAGAACCACACCAGAGGGTATTTTGTCAAATATAATGAATATAAAAGCAGATATAGAGTTACCAAGTAGTTTGGTATCAAACAGGAGAACAGTCTCTAAAGAACAAATACCAATATATTAAACTTACTTGTTAATTAGATGAAAGCTTTACATTCATGGGCATTGCTGTTGCACTTCAGAACTCCAGGCAAGTGTGAAATTCCAGCGTATTGTCTCTGCCAGAAAGAAATTGTTTTGTATTCCCCCAGCTCAGTGCACCTGCCCAGTGAATTCAGTGGTAACGTTTTCCTGTGGGAGTACAGCGCTTAAACCAAGAACACTGGGAATTATGCGCTGCCT